GAATTTTGAATCAAATGTTTCTCTTCTTTCTCCCTCAGAGTGCAGACATGTCTGCTGCCAGCAATCTGCGATCTGAAGATCAGTTTCTGTGCTCCATCTGTCTGGATGTGTTCACTGATCCAGTCTCTACACCATGTGGACACAACTTCTGCAAAACCTGCATCAGTCAGCACTGGGACATGAATCAGAGCTGTCAGTGTCCCATGTGTAAAGAGACTTTCTACACTCGACCTCAGCTGAGGGTCAACACCTTCATCTCTGAGATGGTTGCTCAGTTCAGACGTGAAGCTCAGCAGAAAGCCAGCAGCAGCAGCTCAGAGCAACAAGCTGCCAAACCAGGAGAAGTTCCCTGTGACGTCTGCACTGGAACCAGACTGAAGGCCCTGAAGTCCTGCCTGGTGTGTCAGACCTCCTACTGTCAGACTCACCTGGAGCCTCATCTGACACTGAAAGGTCTGAAAAGACATCAGCTGGTTGATGCTGTGGAGAACCTGGAAGGCAGGATGTGCACGAAGCACGATAAACTCCTGGAGCTGTTCTGTAAGACCGACCAGACATGTGTCTGCATGCTCTGCTCTGTTTTAGACCACAAGAACCACGAGTTTGTTCCTCTGAGAGAAGAATATGAAGGAAAGAAGGCAGAGCTGGAGAAGACAGAGGCTGAGATTCAGCAGATGATCCAGAAGAGACGACTGAAGATTCAGGAGATCACAGAGTCGGTGAAGATGAGTAAAGATGCTGCAGACAGACAGAAAGCAGAAGGTGTTCAGGTCCTCACGGCTCTGATGGAGTCTGTTGAGAGACGCCTGAAGGAGCTCATGAAGGAGATCGAAGACAAACAGGAAGCTACAGAGAAACAGGCTGAAGGTCTCATCAAAGATCTGGAACAGGAAATCTCTGAGCTGATGGAGAGAAGCTCTGAGGTGGAGCAGCTCTCACGCTCTGAAGACCACCTCCACCTCCTCCAAAGCTTCTCCTCCCTGAAAGCTGCTCCACCCAGCAAGGACTGGACAGAGGTCAGAGTCCGTCCACCATCATATGAGGGGACTGTGGGGAGAGCTGTGGCTCAGCTGGAGGAGACAGTCTGGAAACCCATGAAGAAGAAGCTGTTTGAGGCTGAGCTGCAGAGGGTGCAGCAGCATGAGGTGGATGTGACTCTGGATCCTGATACAGCTCATCCTACTCTCATCCTGTCTGATGATGGAAAACAAGTGTATGATAGTGATGTGAGGAAGAATCTTCCAGACAACCCAGAGAGATTTTCTCTGTGTGTTTGTGTTTTAGGAGAGCAGAGTTTCTCTTCAGGCAGATTTTACTTTGAGGTTCAGGTTAAAGGAAAGACTAAATGGGTTTTAGGAGTGGCCACAGAGTCGATCAACAGGAAGGGAAAAATCACAGCGAGACCTCAGGATGGTTTCTGGACTGTGTGGCTGAGAAATGGAAATGAGTACAAAGCTGCTGCTGACCCTTCAGTCCGTCTCTGTCTCCATCCTGGTCCTGAGAAGGTGGGGGTGTTTGTGGATTATGAGGAGGGTCTGGTCTCCTTTTATGATGTAGGTGCTGCAGCTCTGATCTACTCCTTTACTGGCTGCTCCTTCACTCACAAACTCCACCCATTCTTCTGTCCCTGTACCAATGATGGAGGTAAAAACTCTGCACCTCTGATCATCTGTCCTGTCAATAACATTAATCGACCCCTGATTTCATTTGTAGAACTGCTTGATTTCTGTTTTGATTCTGATTGAAGGGAACAAATGAACACATTGAGTGTAAATCCTCTACAGTCTCCATGTTTCTATAGAATCTGATCATCAGGACTCTGATTCACACTTTGATTCTCATGGAGTTTGATTTGAACAGAAGAAAAGTTGAATCAGGAAATGTTCCCACTGATGGAGACTCGAGCTGAAGAGCAAATATCAGAGAACAAATGTCCAAAAGCTTCATTTCCAATAAAGTTTGTTCAATGCTTTGAGTGAATCCAGACTCATGTGTGGCTGTTATACGGAGCATCAGAGTCCAGCTGAGTTATGTTGGATACAAACTGCTTATTTTGGCTCTGTGAGGAGTTTTGTTCACTGAAAACTGATGAGACGGATAATATTCAAAGAACTCTGTAGAGATTCATGCATCCATGTTCTCCACCTGCAGGTGTGGAGGAGAAAGGTGGAGCACAGACTGCTGCATCCTTCCAGACACATCATTTTGATGATTATATTTGCATGTTGTGATGATTTGGGTTAAAGACAAACAGAGTTGAACGGCTGCAGTCACAGCATGAAGACGATGCTGAAGCTGAGCTGTCAGTGAACATGTTTCACTGTGATTTGATTTGAAGAATAGAAAGTGTGTGTGGCTGCTGACAGCTGCAGTCTCTGCTAGTCTGCATAACACACACACAACTTTCCCCCTGAGGCAACGATGCAGCAACAACACAACAGCTGCAGACACACACACGATTGTGCGCTCCCTTTCAGTCTGAACTCTCAAACACACAAACAAACTCTATCAATGTCGTACTGTTAAAGAACTCCTCCTTCTTCAGTAACAATGATTTGAGGTCTCTACCAGTGTCTCTTGTTTTGACCTTTGACCTCTTTATTCCTTATAACCAAAAAACCCTTTTATCTGATATTTTCACCTTATTGATTGATTATATATATCTATTATATTTTCTCACCTTATTTTGACCTTTGACCTATGTCCTTGTTAGCCTTGATCTTCCTTCATCAAAGGTGAAATTTCTTTCACCTTTGAACTTAAAGCTTAAATCAAACCTTTGTTAAAAAGCTTCTTACCAACTTGTAATTCCAACTCTCTGCATTAAACACGTATCTTATCATATAAACACTGGATCACTGAGAGAACTTTAGGCAGAACCAAATGAAGCAGCTGACCTGGTCAAACTCACAGCGACAGTAACTGACAGTGAATTATTTTAATCTTCTTCATTGTATTTGTTAGAAACATTTATTTTCCTTTAATTGGACTTTGGTTAAGTTAAATCCGATGTATTAAGCGACCTTTGAGGTGAAGTGCAGCTGCGAAGAACGCTACGGCAGGCAATGAGGTGCGTTTAATGTCGCTCTGTTAATTTGAGCGTCCATAAATTGAATGTCTTATTTTTTCTTACTTTATTATTGCTCATTTATTGGAGAATTAGGCCATTTAATCAAGATAGATTTTATGTTGTTGGTGGTAAAGATCTGGATGGATGTTTTACTTTATTCTGTTTCTATTTTTCAGTCTTACTTTTCAAGACTTGGTGAATTGCCTTTTTCTACTTTTTGTTTTGTTAAAATTAGCAGCAGTGAGAAGTGTTGTTGTCGGTCTTGAATATATTTGATGTAGCCCATACTGTTAAGGTAAGTGTCATGTTTTTAGTTGTTAGTCTGATGAAGAATCTTTTATTTTTCTCCAAAAGTTGATTGTGTTTATCTGGACATAGTGTTTTTCAGGTCCAGCTGAATGCAGGTTTCCCCAGTCTTATACGTTGTGACAGCCACTATGGTGCGGTGTCCCTTTAAGACACCCAAGTCGAGGGTTGATGGTGTCATCACTTTGTGCCGCTGCTCTCTCTCTCTGGGATTATGAGGACACGTGCCTGCACGCTTCTGCTTAACGAGGGACGGATTTACGTTTTCTTCTTGTTTTGTTTGCAACGCTTGGGTTGTATGAACGCTGGGCGTTATGTTGTTGAGCCGCAGCCGTTCAGCCGGGCTTTTATATGGTTGTTGAAGAAGGCGTATTAAAGAACCACCGTGGATTACCGATACCAGCGTGGGTGTGTGTTCTTCCGACTAGCCTGCTAGGTGTTTTGCCGCCTCCTCTCAACCACGCAACACAACCCAACGTTCCAACGTGTCAGGAGCATCAGCACAGCTGAAATGCATTTTTCCTAAGCACTGCGTCTCTGTGGCTTTTAAACCCCAAAACACGCTAAAACAAAAATGGGTCCACCCCAAGGATGGGGTCCCCCGGTGTAGTTTCCACTGTGAGAGACTGTGGGCTTCCTCAGAGTGAGGCTGAGAGCGGCAGGCCCAGCTGGAGTCTGACCCGTGGCCCTTCAGATAAAGCTGAAAACGGCCAATATATGATATTAAATATAAAATATAATTAAAAAACAACATCAGAATGAACAACGAGCTGCTGTTAAGAACTCCCGACGTCCATCCAAGGCCCGATTGGTTTCTGTTTCCATGACAACAACAACCGTATGTGGAAAAGACCAAAAACTGAAGCGGTGAAAAAGTTTTGTTGCAGATTAACTATTAACTTTATGTTATTCATTGTCAGCTCGTGCCATCATTAAAGCATGTTAGAACACACATGTAGGATTTCACAAATCATCGCTCCTACATTTAATCGTATCCATAACAACTGTGTGTACGTGTTCGCTTTGAAAACATCACATTCTTTATGTTGGTTGGTTTAAACGAGTGATCTCCAGGATGAATGAGGGCAGAGGCCCGTTTCATGGAGACTGTTTAAGTGTAAACCTGGATTAAAAGCCACATTTGAACACCTTCATCAGAGGCTGTGACCATGTTGAAGGACTGATGCTGACGTGCTCTGACACTCATTAGCATAGAAAACAAAGTGGTGAAAGCACAGAGCCCTGAGGAGCTCCACTGGACGCTCTGTTCACAGAACATTTAATTATTTCACTTTTATTTACATGCAAAACAGCCTCAGAGAGAACAGCTGTTTCAGAGCTGCCAGCTTTATTGGAAAGATGAACTGAAATCCTAAAATAGTCCAATTCATGACAAACTGACACGGTGAAATGTTGCAGGATTCAAATGTGTCGATGGATGAACTCTTTCAGTATAAGATGCAATAATACAAAACACATGAAGGTGAGGAGGAATTCATTTAAAGTAAGTGTGATTTAAAGAGGACTGATTCTTTCCTGGTCAGGCTGAAGCTTTCACCGTCTGACCTCTGTAAACAAACCGAAACACGTTCAGTGTTTAGTTTTACCAATTAGGTTTCATGAATCACCATCTGAGAACGTCTCCGATGTGGGCGCCACTCACAGGGATCACTTCCTGTAGAAGGTCAGGGTGGAGGTGCAGACAGGTGAGCTGAAGGGGAGGAGCCAGTCTGGTCAGGAACTCTCTGTCTCCTCGAGTGAACCTCCTCACCTCTGAAACACACACACACACTGAAGGTTGCAGTCAGGGTGGTGAGGGTGGTGTGTGAGGGTGGGGTTACCTTCTGGTCTCTGGTTGGTGTGTTTCCTGCAGGTGAGGCTGAGTGGCCGAATCATGACATCACTGCTGCACAGACACAACAGGAAGTGGAGGAGGAAGTCGTCAGCGTCCTCGTCACACACCTGAGACAGACACAGAGGTTATGTCTCTGCAGACTCACGGCTCGGCCCTGTGGAAACGTCCTGCAGGACGCCTGTTTCTCTCTGTGGTGGCCCCCCCACAGCGTCCCCACCGTGCTTCACTGTGTGGACGCTGTTCTTTGGGTTGTAGCTGCATCTTCTTCTCGTTTCACCACCTCTGACCACAGGACGTTTCAGTCTGCAGGGTCTTTTAACACAGCTCCACCTGTGGGTGGAGGGGCCCTGTGGGTTCTCCTGGTGTGACCCGAGTCCTAAATGCCTCTCGCTGTCCTGCCCCTCCCCTGTGGTCTCCACCCTCCATGTGGGAGGTGTGGCATTCACAGTCAGCCCTGATTACCCTCAGAACTACACCACCTGCTGCTTCATCAGGTCGAGTGGGTGGAGTCAGGGGCACGACCTGAGTCTCGCTGAAACACACGGCTGTAAGGCCCCTCCCTCCTGTTCACGTGAGCGCAGCGTGGGTCCGTCACACCTACAGACTTTTAAAGGTGGAAGTGGCCACGCCCCCAAACCAGTTCAGCAGTAAGGTGTGAGCAGACGGAGCTGTTACCAGGATACAAACAGGATGTGCCCTTTCAAAGTTAAAGCCTCATCTTAAATTTTAAAGACAAAATAAAGTCTAAAGACGACGATGAGCACGTGACTCACCTGTGACAGGTAAACATATACACCTGACAGGTGCTACTGACCTGGCTCTGCCCACGAGGGAAGACTCTGATGTGACCTCTGACCCTGAGTGCTCTCTGAAGCCCCTCCCACTGAGCATCAGCCAATCCCAGCAGAGCACGAACCAGAGCAGCTGAGAAGCAGACGTGAGCCTCACCTGTCCCGTCATCGATCACCAGCCTGATCGAAGAGCAGAGCCACATGGTTTGATCATGTGACTGTCACCTGACTCATCCAGGTGATTAACACGTATCAGCAGGTGAGCTCAACAGGAAGCTGCTCTTACTTTGCTTTGGACTGAAACACTGACGAGGTCGAGTGACACTGAGAGCTGCTGCAGCCCTGAGAGAGAGAGAGCAACAGGTAAACACACACACCTGAAATCGTGAGCAGTTTCCTCCAAAACGACACTTTACTTACTGCACCAACACTAACACGCCACCAACACGCTAACAACACATGAAGCACTCTGAGTACTTTCACTGCACCCGAGAAACTGACACTAAACACATCCTGTACACACTGTGTGTATTTTATGCAGTACCTGTGTGTACACGCTGCCACACAGCGAGCAGCTCCACTGCAGTTGCAGGAACAGGAAACACACCACGTGACCTTTGACCTGTCCCACAGCGCACCTCTGCTTGCTGCTCAGAGCCCACTCACCCAGGTGCATGATGGGAGCAGGAGGAGGAGGCTGGGCCGAGCTGATAGAAACCAAACAAACAAATAAACAACAGCACGACAAACACGTGAACCAGACTTTACCTGTAAACTTACCTGGTGTCTCCCAGGGAGACCACAGTTATGGAGCTGACAGGTAAGTACGTGCAGTACACACTTCCTGTCCTGAAACACACACACAGGTAAACCGCACAGGTACGTAACCATCGGCGTGACTTTGTATTGAACATTGGGGGGTCAAGATCTCTGTCTAAATAAATAAATCTGGGTACATTTCCAGATGATTAAACAACTATTTTGCTGGTAAAACCTGAAACGAGTAAAGAAAACCAGCAGCCTATTAATGCAAGATAATCCATAACTTTATTGGGGGTGACATTGTTGGAAATGAGTCCAAATAAAGAGTCCAAACATTTATAAGCCTGTCTATGTGTGTCTCACCTGGACAGCCTCCTCTGGAAACCAGACAACAGCAGAGTGTTACCCGGCAACAGGCCAGGTGGGTAGGGGGTGTGGCTTAAGTCCAGGTACACCTGCAGACTCCTCCCAGCTTGGTCACAAAGAGTGAGACGCACACCTGCACACACACATTCAGCTAACAGTCAGACCTGAGACTCATACCTGAAGCACTGATGCCTGCAGTTCCTCTAGTGTCCAGCAGAGGCAGCAGTGAGTCGCCTCCATAGATCCCCATGTTACAACTTCACAGCAGAAAAAGCCTGATACACAGACCACCTGTGTGTTTGTACCTGAGTGTGTGTGTCCAGAGTGGGCAGTCCTGTTGTTCACACTGATCCTTTCAGACACCACACCCTGAAAACACACCAGCTCTGAACTGAAACACACACACACACACACACACACACACACACACACACACACACACACACACACACACCAGTAAGAGTTTAAAGCAGGCTGCAGCTGCAGTTCCTCAGATGGCCACAGGGGGCGACTCAGTGAGGGACGAGCAGTTTACCTGCAGTCTAAGACCTCTGAGACGGACAAGACTGTGGGTGGGACGGCCTGAAAACACAGAGAAGAGAGATGGAAAATGTGACGTCATTCAGGGGTAAAACCGCAAAGGATTGTGGGAACGAGTGGCAAGCGGTACTAGCGCACGCAGGCTTTCACACGAAAACAGTCACACAGTAATAAAAAGAAACACAAAAATGGCAAGAAGCTGCTGTATTATTAACTGTGTTGTATTATTAAGTCTTCTGTTGTAGTTATTACGTAATTTATCATAACATGATTGATGATGTAGGTTACAAATAAGTCTTATATTGATTTGAATTGAATTCGTTGCTATGCTGCTTTGTTCACTGTGGCTTTGCGGGCTAATGTTTGTTGTGTTTTGTAGGAAAACCAGAAACAAAATGCAGGAATGTGATCCAGACTGGCCCCTCTATCAGCCTGGGTCATACCGAGTTTAAAGCTGCTACCACAGCCAGATCTGATTGGTTAAGAGAGAGAGCGCTATCGAAACAGCCACGAAACGTCTGCATATATGTGTCCAAGGGTTGTACTGAAGCAAGCAAGTGATGAATGACTGTTTTCCAGTATGTTGTTAGCAATGTTTTTTTTCTTCTTCTTTTTTTTGCATTGTTGATTTGTTTTTCAGGAAGCAGCTAATAAAGCTGATGGATTTTTACAATGTTGCCTCTTTCTTGTAAGATTCTATAATAGAATGAAACAATGATGCCAGTTAGAAATAAAGACAATAAATTGAATGAATTATGAAACACTCATTTTATTTCTATTAGATCTGAGAATGTTGTGTAACACTACAACCTGAAACGACAAATAGATTGTGTTGGCCTGTACAGGAGATAAAATATTTAACAACAGCTAAATAAACGGTAAATGGCCTGTATTTGTATTCTTTACTTAGTCCCGAAGGACCCCAAAGTGCTGGAAATGCTAGCGCTTAATGCAGGGTTTTGATTTGTTGCCACTTGTACCCACAATGCAATGCGTGAAAGTCACATGGTCTGTCAATCTCCATGAAAAAGTTTAAGGGTCCTGGAGGAAGACGGGGAGCAAACCGTGTGTTACCTGTCTGCAGGTGGGCAGCAGCAGTGGGCGTGTCAGAGTGTGGCATCTCCAACCATGTCTGACTTGTAGGGTTGACTCAACGTGGAGATCCACCCCACTGCGCCCAGAAAACCCACAGCCAAACAAAATACTGGGATCCTGATTGACAGACACATGGACCAATCAGCTGCAAGGATTCAGGTCAGATCAACTCCCCACAAACAGGAATGGTGGGAGTCATCTGCATAGCAGTAAAAATGTAAGCTGTGTTTTGATGATGCTGCCTAAGGGAAGCATGTATAATGTAAACAGAACTGGTCCAAGCACTGAACCCTGTGGAACTCCATAATTAACCTCAGTGTGTGAACAACTACAGTTAAAGCTGAAAAACGTCTTCATGTGTACTAATATCAGAGAGCAGAGACCGATGAGGCCAACCTCTGACCACGCCCCTTAGTGACATCATCAAAGCTGGGTTGATACCTGAGTGTTAGCGGCGATGAGTCTGTAGAAACATCCAGGCTGGAGGACAGGAAACCACCGCGTACACACACCTGAGAACACCAGCACCACCTGCACGCGCACGCACACACACGTAACTGTGTATCCAGGTGAGCTCAGGTAAACACACACAGGTGCGTCTCTCACCTGTCTCTCCTGCTTTTGTTCACTTTCTTTCTCTTTCATTGGCTCATTCTTTGGGTCCCGCCTCCAGCTGACCACTGGACCAATCACAGCAGCTTTCACTGAGAAGCACAGTCTCAGCCCTGCCTCCTGATCCTCTGCCTCCGCCCCTGTATTCCTCCAGGACACACCCTCCTTCTGCTCCACCCTGATCACCATGGAGACACAGGGCCAGGGGTTGCCGGAGTTGGCTTCTTCTTCTTCTTCTCTTCTCCTCCTCTTACTCCCAGCAGTCTCTTCTTCTTCTTCTACTGTCTGCTTCCTGGCAGTGACATCCCCTCCTGGCTCCTCCCCCTTGTGTCTCAGGTGTGTCTCCATGGCAACAGATGGACTCAGGATGTGCAGGTGGTCCAGAGAGAACTGCAGGTAAACCCTGTGAATTGAACCCAGCTTTATTTAACTCATAATGTTTACAACCAGGAAGGTAGCTCACACCCTGAACCAATCAGACGCCCTCCTACATCACAGAATGGACCAATGAGCAGTCAGCATGCTGCAGGTTGTGTGTGTGTGTACCTGCAGTGTTTGTGTGTGATGAACCTGTCCTGGTCCAGGTGTTGGTAGGAGGGGAAATCTGATTGGAGGAATCTCTCTGTCACCATGGTGAACTGCACCACACCCACCAGACAACCTGCAGCACACACACACACACACATTAAAGAATAAAGCTGTGTGTCCCTGTGTGTGTGTCTGTGTGCGTGCATTGTACCGATCCAGGCGCTGTTAAAGACCGCCCTCTGCGCTCCCTCCTCCTCCTCGCTGCTCTCCGTCAGCACGCAGGCTGCAGCTCCCGCGGCGTCTCTGAGCTGCATCGAGTGTTTGAACTCAGACGTCTGTGACGGCAGCTCCAGCACGCCGACCAGCAGCAGGGGGCGCTGCCTGACACACAAACCGGCAAAAACCATTGGTACGTAATCACATGACTTCATGTGGGAGCTGCTGTCACCTTACCTCACAGCGTCTCCACCCCGAGGCTCGGAGGACAGAGTCCTGCAAGACCAGGACAGGAACCCGTTGATCTGGGCGGAGGTCAGGTTGGAGCCATCAGGGGGCAGCAGAGAGCTCAGAGGGGCCGAAGACCAGCAGCCAGTCTGCAGGGACTCCAGGAGCTCCGACACACCGAGGTACTGCCGGACCGCCGAGGACACGCTGTACTGCAGGGACACAGAGCACACTGAGCATGCTCCACACTCACCTGTAAGGAAGACAGGTGAGAGTGGGACCTACCTGCGTCACAGGACAGGTGTGAGGCTCGTCCAGCATCTCAGCGTAGATGTCTCTGCGTCCTCGTCCTCCAGCTCTGCTCAGAGTCTCCATCAGCCTCCAGGACAGCAAGCACACACACTGCTGCCTCCACACACCTTGGACCAGACTGAGGACCAGGACCAGAACCAGGACCAGGAAACAAGCCAGAGCCAGCGGAGGACAGGAGGACAAAGGTTAGGCTCTGCTGTCTCTGACTGTGGACAGGTGGTGGTGGGTGGAGCCTCACCTGTGTGCCAGCTGCGAGCTTAGGTGACAGGTCCACAGGTAATCGGACACATCTGTGTTTCTCTGCAGCAGTAACCGTGGTAACGCCCCATCTCCCGGGCAGCGGTTGTCGGGTGGCGAGCCTCCCGCCCTGCTGAAGGCCGTCACCCTCAGGCTGGAGCGCAGGCAGGTGCAAAGCATGCTGGGAGGGAAGTCCGGGCAGGGCCGGTACAGGAAGTGGGCGTGATGCAACTGCAGGAGGAGGAACCATCAAACTTTATTAGTCGTGGCTGCCACGAACACAAACGGGCATGATGATGTCACATCATGTGACTCACCTCCACTCTGTCTCCCGCCCTCAGCTTCCTCTTCGCCGCCGGCTGATAGGCCACGCACAGACCCACCTTCCCATCCAGCACGTAGAGCCCCGCCCCCTCACTCACAACCTCAGTCACCGTGCCCTATCACAGCAGAGGAGGCTTAGTAATCAGCACACAGGTACAAACCTGTGGTAGCCAATCAGAGCTCACAGCACTCTCACCTGGTAGCTGATGACTTTGGATTGCTTTATCCTCACAGCTGATTGGTCCAGCTCCACCTCCTCATGCTCCGCCTCCTCACAGTCGTCCTCAGCAGGCTGTGACAGCAGGGACTCAGAGTGTGTGTGTTCCTGTGTGTGTTCCTGTGTGTGCGTGTAGTCGGCGTGCAGCTCGGAGCGCTTGGTCACACACAGGATGTTGTTTCCTCTCCAGCCTCGTAGCGCACACACACGTAGAGCTGTCACACACACGCTCTGCCCGACACACACACGCTGGATCCAGCTGAGCCGGCTGCTGTCCTGCACACACACACACACACTGAGCTTCATTGTCCCTCCTCACCATCATCATCCTCAGAGAGCTGGTACCTGTACGAGCACGGGCAGCGAGCGCGACTCATCCGTCAGCGTGAAGCAAAAGAAGGTCGTTCCTGCCACGGCCAGCAGAGGGCAGACTGAGCCCACCTCTCCGAACACGCTCAGCCGCTGACCTTTGACCCTGGAGCACACACACACACACACATCTGTCACACACACTGCTCAGAAACTCCGCTGCAGTTCAAGATCATGTGACCCACCTGTGCCTCAGCAGCCTGCGGCCTCTCCGACTCCCACCGCTCCGCTTAGCTCCACCCTTCCAGGAGCAGCAGCCAATCCCTGCTCAGCACCAGGACACAACAGGACAGGGGAGCCAATCAGCTCCAAGAAGCCTGCGGCCTCTTCCTGGCCCGATGCATTGTGGGGGATGTAGTTCCAGTGAGGGAGGAAAACAGGACGATCGAGCCACCGGGGCGAGAGAGACAGGCACTGGATGAGGGAGAGAGAGAGACGCGGGTGAGAGAGTGGCGGAGTGTGTCCTGGGTGGATGCTGGAAGCCTGTACTGATGATGACAGCTTCATCAGCTCTGATCTGCAGTGATGCCGTTTGTTTTATAGCTGCAGGAGATCAGATTAGATCAGATTAGATTAGATTAGATTAGATCAGATCTAATCTAATCTAATCTGATCTGATTAGATGAAACTTTATTGATCCCTCGGCTGCGTTCCTCCAGGAAATTCGGTTTCCAACAGCCCAGCACTGACAGAAGTTACAGAAGGTGAGCAGAAATATACACATATACAAATACAGAGTATAGAAAAGGGAAGAATAGAATAAATAGCAATAAGAACACAAGGGAACTGCACATTTCAAGTACTGTGAGTCATTAATCCGTGCGGTGATGCTAGGACCACACTGAGCCTGCTGCAGCTGTCTGACTGTAATCTGTCAGGTTACTGCAGGTGATGCTATCTGTATACTTTATGTGAGGAGGAGGCTCCACATCTTTATAAAGCTCTGCTGTCATCACGTCTGTGCCAGCACAGTTACTCACTTGCTGACAGACTCTGTCTTTACATCCTTACTTATCGATCAGCTAAGTGAATCCATATAAACACAGCTCACATTTAACAAGTCCTGATGTTTCTGAGTTACAGAAATGAAAGTCAGCTGTTGAGCTTGTTTGCTTGTTTCATGCTGATGTAAACATCAGCAGAGAAGCGTGTGATGACCAGACTCTATCAGCACTTGTGTCCCTGCACAGAGAATGAGCTGAATTAAAGAGGAATTCGATTTCATTCACGTTGCACATGAACACCTGCAGTTTGTTGTGACCTCGTTACCATCAGTTCTGACCAGATCCGGTTTAGTGACGCTGCTGTGAAGAAGCTCCTGAGAACTAACCAGCTGATGGACGATGGGTTAAGGTTAGGCTCCTCCCCCTCTGACTCACCTCACACATGACGCTGCCGCTGGCGTCCGTCAGCCTGTACTCTCCGTCAGGCCTTCTCTCAGACAGCCAATCAACAGCAGGTTGACCCTCGGCAGCGCCCTCTGACCCGGCACGGCGAGCTCCGCCTCCCTGGCCCAGGCTCTCTGCTGATTGGTGCTCCAGGACAGGTTGCTGACGCAGGCCAGGTGCTGCTGGGAGACGAGCTGGGAGACGGACAGCAGCCTGTGGACAGACGGGAGGACAGCGGTAAGGCCAGGTCACGTGACCTGCGACAGCGATGATGTCAGCGGGCGTTACCTGTAGCTGACAGGTAAGCTGTGGGCCACACACATCTGCTGCTGGATCGCCTGCACCGCACACATGCTCAGGTCAAAGAGGCTGAGGTCACCGTGGTTACCTGGGAAAACAAAGTTTAAAGGGTAAACACAAACATAAACAACTGAAGCCCCGCCCACTGAGAACACCTGAAGTGGACACCAGAGCTGGTGTGTCAACAGGTGGGACCACCTGAGGAAGCAGCTGCTCTTCATCCTCACACTCTTAGTCCTCCCTGTTCCTCACTGACAGTCGGTCACCTTCATGGCTCTGACCTTTGAACCACACTCATATCTACACACTGGACTGCTCTGATGACACCTGTGAGGGCAGGTGAGCCCTGCTTTCACTGTTTAAATAATGGTTTAAATAGTATTTGGTTTCATAAGTGGACATCGTCATTAAGGATTTAAAGTACAGCTGATTTATCAGCCAGCTGTTTCAAACAAACAGGAACTCACCTGTCTGCGAGGGGGCGGAGCTACACACCACAGGACTCAGGTGTTCAGAGATGGAGGTGAAGATGTTCTTTAACCACAGGGACTCCTAAAGAAACAAAGCAGCAGGTCGGAGGTCACAATAATAAATGTAGAACAGGCTCACATCCTTATATTCTCTTTTCTGTGTGGATTTCTGCTATAGAATTAGCTCGAAACAGCGATCGGCTGCTGCTCTTAATTGCCAGGACAGGCCGGGTTTCGGCAACCCTCAAGGGTGCTTCGCAACCAGCGGGCCTTAACGCCGTTAAGATGCCGCCTAAGAGGAGCAACGTTAATGAGGAGGAACTGGAGGACATAAAGAAATCCCTAAACTTTATGTCTGAAGAAATAACAACAATTTCAAAACAACAAAATCTGATACTCAATTTAATGGATGATATTAAAGAACTAAGAAGGCAGAGCGAGGAAAAGGACAAGAAGATTGCTATGCTGGAAGGACGGGTGTCAGATCTGGAACAATATTCAAGAGTAAATGATGTGATAGTGACAGGACTGGAAACCAAGCATCAGACATACGCACGGGTAGCAGCATCAGAGAGAGGGGAGCCACCCGAGCAAGAGCTACGCTCTTTGGAAGAGCAGGTAATGGCCTTCTTTAAAAGCAAAGGTATAGAAATGGACAGTAAAAATATTGAGGGATGCCATCCTCTTCCTGCCATTATCATTCATTTTGTTAATAGAAAACAGAAAAAAGAACTGCTCAAGCAAGGAAGAAAGCTAAAAGGTACAAATGTTTATTTAAATGAACACCTAATCAAGAAAAATGCAGACATTGCAAGACAAGCAAGAATATTAAGAAAACAGAAGAAAATACAGTCAACTTGGACGTCAGACTGTAAAATATTCATTAAGTTAAATGGAACACCAGAGCAGGCTAAGGTTCTAGTCATCAAAGAGATGACGGAACTAGAAAAATATAACTGATAAATGCAAAGCAGTGCTAAATATGATGGGACCGTCCAAGTGCACAACCAACGCAGATGTCTGACAATTTTCAACTAACAACTCATATAGATATTGAAAATAAGACATTGATGTATGACAGCAACATAGATCCTGATTGTAATTTCTTTAACAATAAGACAAATGAATGCAATTATTATACAAATGAGCAACTTAAAAAGGAATTCAAGGTAGAACAGGGTATAACAATGGTTCACTTTAATAGTCGAAGCTTATATGCAAACTTTCAATCCATCAAAGACTACATAACAGTTTGAACAGCCATTCAATGTGATAGCCATATCGGAGACCTGGATAACTCCTGGAAAAGAAGAAGACTTTAAAATAAATGGATATGAATTCCTTCATGTAGACAGGATCAACAAGAAAGGAGGTGGGTGGCACTTTACATTGATAAAAACCTAAAGTACAAAAGAATGGGAAGAATGACGACTGTTATTGATGGAGTGATGGAATGTTTATCAGTGGAAATAAGTATAGAAAAAAGGAAAAACCTAATTGTCAGTTGTATATATAGAACACCAGGATCTAAGATTGAGATATTTAAGGATAATATGGAGGACTTATTTACAAATATAAATCAGAAAAGAATGTTTATTTGTGGGGACTTTAATATTGACTTATTGAATCCAAATCATAATAAGAGTACAGAAGAATTTATTGATTCCATGTACAGCATCGGTTTATTTCCACTGATAACAAGACCGACCAGAATAACATCTCATTGTGCAACTCTATTAGATAATATATTTACAAATATAATAGAAGGAAAGATAAGAAGTGGGCTGTTAATCAACGACATAAGTGACCATTTACCAGTCTTTGCATCTTATAAATGCCATTATAAAGTGAACAACGATGGACATAAGATTATTTACAAAAGAATAAGAACAGAGAAGACCTTAAATTGTCTTAGAAAGTAACTTTTAAAGCAAGATTGGAATATTGTATATGAACAAACAGAAGTTAATAAAGCTTACGAAGGATTTTTAAGAACATTTAATACATTACTTGATAAAAAATACCCAGTAATTGAAATCAATAGGAAACACAACTATGCAGGAAGACCATGGATGACAAAAGGACTACAAAATGCCAGCAAAAAAAAGAATACCTTATATCGAGAATTCATAAAAAAGAGAACAATAGAAACTGAAATGAAGTATAAAACTTACAAAAATAAATTAACTAATATAATGAGATCCTGTAAAAGAGAGTATTTCATTAAAAGGTTAGAACACAATAAAGATAACACAAGAGATATATGGAATGTATTAAACAGAATAATCAAAAATGAATCAAGGAATAATGATTACCCTGGGTACTTTATAGAAGGGACAAGAAGTATTAATAACATGGAGGAGATAGTAAATGGCTTTAATGAATTCTTCGTAAACATAGGGCCAAAACTGGCAGAAGAAATAAAGGTTGATGGAATAGAAAGGGACACTGGTGAAAATATTGAAAGGAATAGCAGCTCAATGTTTTTAAGAGCAGTGGAAGAGAAAGAGATTTATGACATGGTTAGAGGACTTAAGAACAAAACCAGTACAGACTGGAATGATATTGATATGGTAACGGTAAAGACAGTTATTGATGGTATCGTAAAACCATTAAAATGTATATTCAACTTGTCGTTTCAAAAAGGAGTTTTTCCACAAAAAATGAAAGTTGCTAAAGTTATTCCCATTTACAAAACCGGTGAAAGACATCATTTTACAAACTATAGACCAGTGTCAATACTCTCCCAGTTCTCTAAGATACTGGAACAACTCTTCATAAAAAGATTTGACAGTTTTGTGGAAAAATATGAATTAATGACAGATAGTCAGTATGGGTTCAGAAACAACAGATCAACAGCTTTGGCACTGATTTAATGGAAAAGATAACGGAATGTATGGATAATAAGAGGTATGCGCTCGGAGTTTTCTTAGATCTAAAGAGGGCGTTTGATACTGTGAATCATGAAATTCTATTAAAAAAACTGGAAAAGTACGGGTTTAGGGGAGTGGTTTTGGAATGGTTAAAAAGCTATGTAGGGAATAGGCA